ACCCTGCCAGGGCTGGGTGCAGTGACTCACTCCTGTAATTCCAGCACTTTGGCAGGCCGAGGAACATAGATTGCCTGCGGTCGGGAGTTCAAGACCAGCCTGACCAACATGGAGAAACCATGTCTCTACTGAAAATACAAAACTATCCGGGCATGGTGGTGCATGCCTATAATCCCAGCTACTCAGGTGGCTGAGGCAAGAGACTAGCTTGAACCTGGGAGGTCAAGGTTGCGGTGAGCCAAGATCATGCCATTGCACTCCAGCCCGGGCAACAAGAGCAAAACTCTATCTCAAAAAAAAAAAAAAAAGAAAGAAAGAAAGAAAAGAAAGAACCCTGCCAATCAAAATGTCACAAGGCAGAGGGAGGCTGGAGCCCAGTGTGGCGTGCACATGGAAAATGTGGTTACCTGTACAATTTAATGCCATGAAATGCTGTTCCGGGCCAGGTGATCCCTCCGGAAGGGGAGTGCAGGGGGGTGCAGGGTACAGGGGTGACCTCGGCAGGCTGAGGCCTCGGGGCTGGGCCTCCACTTCCTCACTGACCTTGTTCAGGTGAGAAAATGGGACTAGAAGGGCTTTGTAAAAGGTAACATCACAGGTAAATGTGAGCCGTGGGCCACTTGGAGTCCTTTATCTAGAGACACAAGATCCACTATGAAACATCACTTGCTGGCACTCCCACAGGGCTACTGTCGGGGACACCCGTGAGTAAGACACTCAGCCTGACCTCAGGGAGCACAAAGCCCAGTGGGGAATGGTTGAAACAATGGATTAAATGCCACGCGGCAGGGTGCCTGGGAGCTGGGGTCCCAGCCAGGAGGAAGGTTGCCCAAAAGAGGCCTTGGAAAGCCATGGTGACGTCCCTGTGGGGTTCTGAAGGATGACAAGGGAGCTGCCAGTACCTGAAGGATGAGGAAGGAGTGTTCTAGAACGTACAGCACTGGCAAAGGCATGGGGGGTTGAAACGCAGTGTCACTGTTCCAGATTCCCAATCCAGAAACCACCTCCGAGCACCTTGTTCCCTCAAACACCTGGGGCCGAAGCCATACCTGATGTGAGGTGAGGATGGCTGCAGCACCCTGCGAGGATCTGTGGGTGCGTGGAATGGGCCTGCACCACTAGCCGTGGGTCCTGGGCTCTCGGGAATCATCCAGAATACCCTCCTCTCTGCCCTTCTAGGATCTGAGGACCTAAAGGCTTATGGTATGTCCTTTCCCAAACTTGAAAGAAATTTAGAACTCACCTGACTTTTCTTTTCTTTTCTTTTTTTTTTTTTGAGACAGTCTCACTCTTTTGCCAGGCTGGAGTACAGTGGCGTGATCTTGGCTTACTGCAACCTCCATCTCCTGGGTTCAAATGATTCTCCTGCCTCAGCCTCCTGAGTAGCTGGGACTACAAGCATGCACCACCATGTCTGGCTAATTTTTGTTTGTTTTGTTTTTTTGAGACAGGGTCTCACTCTGTTGTTCAGGTTGGAGTGCAGTGGCGCAATCTCGGCTCACCGCAACCTCCGCCTCCTGGGTTCAAGTGAACCTGTCTTAGCCTCCTAAGTAGCTGGGATTACAGGTACGTGCCACCATGCCCAGCTAATTTTTGTATTTTTAGTAGAGACGGGGTTTCACCATGTTGGCCATGCTGGTCTTGAACTCCTGGCCTCAAGTGATCTGCCCACCTCAGTCTCCCAAAATGTTGGGATTACAGGTGAGTCACTACACCCAACCACCCTAACTTTTCTCCTGAAACCGGAACAACCCCAGATTCTTTGTGGTCTTAGAGAAAAGTGAAGATGGAGCAGCCAGCCTATCCTTGTAGGAAGAGAGCTGCCTGCCCCAGTGTGCCCTGAAGGAAAAAGGACACCCTCCATGTGGGCTTTGTCTGGCCAGCCGTCCCTCATTTTAGGCTCTACTTCTATGATCCGGCTCAATCAGAGCCCACAAGGTGGAAAACACACAGCATTTCACCAGGAGGAGGGTCTGCCCTGTCCGAGGAGCCAGTGGCAGTAGAGATTTCCCCAATGCAGGCATGGGCGCTGCTGGGAGCATCCCTGCACACATCACAGTCAGGGCAGGGCTGGGGAGAGGGATGGAGATGCAGTGGGGTCCCCACAGTGGGAGCAGCAGCTCCCTCTCACTGTGAGATCGGGAGAGATTGGGGGTGATGATTTCTACCTTGTGGGGACCGCGGTGTGTGGCTTCCATATCCAAGTCCCTGGCTTCCCAGGAGGGGCCCTGGTGGGGCTGCAGCCACGGTTACCACAGAATTTGAAGCTGAAAGGTAAGACACTCCAGGGACTTACAGAGATCTTTGAGGTTGGGATCCTGCCCAGGGTGAAGGTGAGGCTGCCCCGTGTCCTGGCCTTGGCATGTAACCACCGCAGGAGGGGGCCTCTGCAACTCTCCAAGGAGGTCACCCTTACCTCCCTGAGGGAACGAGAGGATGAAGGCCATCACTTTTCTTGCAGGCCACACAGACCTGGGTTTGCATCTTGGCATGGCCACCTACCAGCTGGGTTATGCTGAACAGCTCAGGTGACTTCCCTGAGCCTCAGTTTCCACGCTGACACTAACAATCCTTCACAGGTGCTAACCAGGCTGTTGGAAGGAGTAAGTGGTTTGGTACCTGAATAGGCTCCCTGGAAGTTTGGAGGTGGGAGCAGCATGGATGTCCTAGTTACAGAGCCCTGGTCCAACACCTTCTCCTAACAGGTGCTGAAGCCATGGCCCGGCCAGGGGTGGGGACGCATGTGTCCCATGACCTTCAGGCAAGCGGCTGGCTTTGCCTACATGGCTCCTTTGCACACAGTGGGGGCTGAACCCTTGATGTCTGAGAGCTATGTAAACAGCCTTTCCAGAACTGCCCCAGTTCCTGCTAAGCAAGGAGTGGCTGTCAGGAAGGGTCCCCAGGGGAAACACGAGCCTCTGGGCTAGCCTGGGCTACAGGCACAGTCTGTCGGGGCAGCACCGCACTCCTGCCCTCCCTGCCCCTGATTTCACAGCAGGAGCTTGGGGAGGGGCCCTCATGGCAGGCTAACACCAGCAGGTTTGGCAGAACCCAGCCCAGGGCACAGCTTCCGTCACTTAGGGCTGACTCTGCCGCCATGTTCCCCGGATGCTGGAGCTGCAGAAAGGAATCGTGACCAACCCCAGGGGGTTGTGCTTCTCATAAAACAATTCATTAGGCACTTAGACTTGGAGCTGTTTTGATGGCTTTGTAAACACAGATGAGCCTCTCATGTCTGATAAAAGACTGTGCAAGACGGCAGCCAGCTGAGACGCTCATTATCTCGGAAAAGCCAAAACTGCTTACTCAAGACAAAGCAGTTTTGGTCTCGGGTGGGGAGGCAGTGCCTGGGAAGCCTCTGGCGGTGGCTTCTAGGAGGGACAGGGAAATACAAACACATTATTATGTCATTCAGTGCTTCCCATGTGTGTGTGTCCCTGGTAGAAGTACAGCATAATCTGGTCTGTGGGCTGTAAGGAGGACACTGGGCCTGAGAGGGTGGACGTAGGAAAACAGTGCAGGTGACAATGGGGCCAACATGCAGGGTGGCCCAGCAGCCTCTCACCATCCTTGGCACATGGGGCCAACTACACCCTACCCCCCAGCACTGTGGGATCTGGGATGGAGAAGGCACACACATCTGCTGAGCTGAGGCGGGTGGGCACCTGCACGCTGAGTTTCCCAGCAGCCGGGAAGGTGGGCACACCTCGCCCAGCCTCAGGCCCCAGGGTGGGATTCCCAAGGCTGCATTTGGGTACTCCAAGCCTGAGCATATCTGGGCAGGTGTGGGTGGTGGGGTGGCCCTCCCACCCCACAATCATGCTGCCAACAGGCCAGTGAAGCAGGCTTGGGGCAGGTCTTGGATGCCCAGGGTTTAGCCTGGGCTCTTGGCCTGCAGTGAGCTCTAGCCTCTATCTTCCCACCCTGCCCTTGCATTTCTTGTGGGGCCTGGAGCTTGGTCCCAGCTCCCAGTCCGGCCTTGGTCTAACCTCCTAGTTTGGGGGCTGGGTCCCCCAGCTGGAGCTCACCCAGGCACAAGCACTGCCCACTGTCCCCAGCCAGCAAGATGGCTCTCCTGAACCCCCTTCTCTGGACCTCACTTTTTCCTCTGTAGCAGCCTCCATTTCTGCACAGCTCCTCTGCTCTGGTCTCCTTACTCCCACAGCAGGCCACCCCAAGCTCCTAGAACTGCACCCCTGGCCTAGATGTACCACCCTGTGGGACTGTCCTGGGAGGAGGCTGTCGCAGTCAGACTTGTGTCTGGAGGGTAGAGGCCTGGAGGAGCACGCACACTTCTGGGGAACACTCCCCAGACAGAAAGAGGGAAGCAGGGCCAAGCACTATCCTCCTACCACCATCGAGACACCCTCGTGGCTCCCAGTCATAGCCGTGTGGTTTCCAGACCGGGGTGAGCGGCTGACTCCCACGGCGGGGCTGCTTAGTTTACAACTGCGGTTACCCACTTCGTCTACCATCAGGTTGGCACGACCTCGGCAGGCTCAGCTCTGAGGCTCTTCTAGCTCAGGGAGCCCTCGACCGCAGCCCCCACCACACACCCTCCCTTGTTGTGCACAGCGTCTGCTCCCACTGCATCTGGGGAGTGAACCCAGGGAGGAGGAGTAGCAGCCACTGAGGGCCAGTGTGGCAGCTGTGTCCCTACCGTGTGGGCAGAACTGACCCACTGGGCTAGCTACTCAACTTGGGGCCCCGACCTTCCTTATCGAGGCATGAAGTAACTGCAGACTGTACCAGAGTCCACACCCAACCCCAGTTTCCTCCAGACAGTGAAGAAGAATGTCCTTGCCCAACAACGGCCGAGTGAAGGAGATGATTTGAGAACCCGGAAGCTAGCTGGGGGGGGGCGCTGGCTTTGGGAAACACCGTGGAACCGCAGGAAATGGAATGCTGACGCTTCAAGCACCCCTGGTCACCTGCTCAGGGACCCCGGGGCTGGAGCCAGGGAGCCCCGTGCCAGGGCGGTGGTGGGGGCGGGTACTCACGTTGATCATAGCATTGGATGTGATGCGGAAGAGGGTGGCCCGCTCGTTCACCACCTTCAGCTTCTCCCCACTCTCGGATGGGATCTTGAGGCCGTCCAGCTCCGTCAGGGAGCGCTGGAGCGCGGCGCCGTGCTTGGCGATGAGGTCATTGCATGTGCTGAGGTCATCTAACTTCAGGGAAAGATTCTTCAGGGTGTGGTGCAGCTCGTTCTTGTCGGCTGGGGTGGTAGCCTCGTCGTCATCCCCAGAGTCATCTGTGGAAGAAAATAGAGTTGTTATGGTCATTACGAACAGACGTGGTACCAAGAGGTCTGCACAGCCAGGTCAAGCAGGGCAGGGTGGATAGCGCCATTCAAAAAACATCACTCCCCGAGATGGTGCCCATTCCTGTTCCTGGCCAGGGTGAGGTGCCTGGCCCAGCTTTCCCAGGGTGGGGTGAGCAAGGGCCCACCTGAGTCAGTGGGAAGGACTGTAAAGAGAGCCCAGCTTGAATGGCAGGGCCAGGACTGGGCTTTGGAGGCCGCAGGACTGCAGGCACCCACCTGCGTGCAGGGCACCAGCTCCCTATGTTGTGGTGTGCAGGGAAGGATGGGCTATGCTGGGTGGCGAGGTGGAGACTGCTCTGTGGGCACAGAGGCCTCTAGAATGGAGCCCAAGCTCCTTTCTCGGTGTCGCAGGCCTACCCCAAGCCAATCCCTCCCACCCAGTCAATCTCACTTTGCTCTCTGATCATGCCCATCCCCCAGCCACACCAGTCTGTCCGCTGTTCCCTGCAAAGGCTTGAGCGCTCCTGTTTGGGGCCTTTCCCGCCATGTCCCCACTGCCTGGAACCTTCTCATACCTGCCCCCACCAGAGGTCCCACCCCACCCACCCCTTTGAGGGCCAGCCCAATGCCACCTTCTGTCCAAACTCTGCCAAAAGAACCTGGGAAACATGACAAAACCCTGTCTTCTACAAAAAACAGAAAAATTAGCCAGGCATAGTGGCATATGCTGGTGGTCCCAGCTACCCAGGAGGCCGAGGTGGGAGGATCACCTGAGCCCAGGGAGGTGAAGGCTACAGTGAGCCATGATCGTGCCACTGCACTACAGCCTGTGTAACAGAATGAGACCTTGTTTCAAAAAACAAAACAAAAAAACCCAAAACACAACAACAAACAAAAACAAAGTCTACTAAAAGACCCCATGTCACAGTTGAGGCTCCCCTGTCCCTGCCTTCACCGATCTCCCTGCAGGAACACAGCCATTCTCACTGATGGAATGCCTTCTGTGTGCAGACATGCTGTGGCCTCTCAGTGGCCTTGCAGGGTAGGGACCAGATCATCCCCAGGCGACAGATGAGGAAACTGAGGGTCTGAGAAGTGAAGTCATGCCCACGCTGCCTGGCTGGCCACCCTCTTCCTTTTGGGCTGCTGGGGCCTCCATGAGAGGGGCAGGCTGTGCCCTCTGCCAGCTCCCACGCCCCCTCTTACCTCTCTCTCACGCAGCTGCCCAGGGCCCTTTGACCTCCCTTTCCTGCCACCCAGCCTGCATCCAAGGGCATGGGGCTGTGGGTGTCTCTGTGGGGTGGCGCATCACAGTAGGTGGGGCAGGAGGCAGCTGGCCTAGGGCCACAGCACACCAAGAGGCTCACACCACCCCATGAGTCCCAGAGCCTGTAACTGCCAAGGGGTTTCTGAAATGCCTTGTTTAGAAATAATCAGCAAAAAACTTTTTTTAGATGAAGAAAATCTGTAACCCAAGATTTAAGATATTTTTGAAAAAGAATGCGTATTGTAAGAGAATGTTTCTTCCCACGGCAGGCAAGGTACACGGAGGTGGACATGGCTGAGTCACACATGGTGTCCATGGCAGGGTCAGGCCAGCCAGCTGTATGGGGCCTGAGCCAAGGGGAGCTGAGGAGGGTGCCCACGGCATACCCTGTCCCCCTCTGGCCACAGGGGCCTTGGGCCAGCATCCAGCCAGGAGGCAGGGAGCCTCCCATCACAACGGCAGCCCCCAAATGACAATAACTTGTTATTCAAATGACCGCCTGCCCCTCTCACGGAGGCCCCAGCAGCCCGGAAGGAAGACAGTGGCCAGACAGGCGGCCCGAGCATGGCTTCACCTCTCAGAGTCTCGATTTCCTCATCTATTGCTTGGGGATGGGACAGTCCCTACCCTGGCAAGGCCATTGAGAGGCCACAGTGTGTCTGCACACAGAAGCCCAACTGTGACCCCCAGACATCTGGAGGCCACACCGGCTGGGCCAGGGTCTGGGCCACGGCTCCGTCAGTTGTTGCTCTGGGCCTCACAGTGGAGGTCAGTAGACAGTGACTGTTCTTCCCTCCCTGCAGGCAAGAAAATGCAGGTTCCGAGAGGCCAAACCACCAGCTTAGTGCCAGCTATTCAGGGGCAGGGTTGGGATCTGAGTCCAGCTCTGTCTGTTCACAAGTCTTCCTCTCTCTGGATCGGCCTTAGAAAGGCTCTAATGGCTGATGTGTACCACACCTTTCCAGGTGCCAGGCTGTGGGTGAGGCGCTGCCTCAGTTAATGCCTGCGATGACCCGGCGAGGTAGATCTAGGAGCAGAAAGGTGCGTTGAAATTGCCCAGGGCCACGAGGTGAGGGGATTCCTGAGCAGCCAGGCCTCTGGCTTTAGAGCCTGTGCTCTTACCACCTGTGCCTGAGGCACGTGTCATCTCCCCAGGTTCAGTACATCTAATAACCAGAACGGCCAGCCCCCTATCCATCGGAATGGCCACCGGCTCAACACGGGGAGGGCCTCAACGGGGCATGGCCAACGCAGATGCGGGTCAGCCCAAATGTGACCCCTGCTCTGTAAGCAAGAGCTGGTGAGAGGCGCAGTCAGTCTAACCATAAGCATCCTTCCGTGTGGCGGGTGGAAGCAGGTAGCCACATTTCTGTATAACTTGCTTTTCAACAGTACACCTTAGTAAGCAGCCCTTAAGGTCCAAATTCAGGTCCCCAGGGACACAGGGACATGCTGTTCTGGCCTCAAGTCACTGGCCATGTTGTTGGGGCAGGATGGGAAGGCACTTGGGCCAGTGATTACCCACGAGCACAGTCTGTTCTGCAGAGACAGGCGGGGAGAGGTCCCCTCAAAGGGATGGAGAGATCAGGAGAAGGAGGGAGGGTAGGACAAGAGAGGGAACGAGTGAGCGAGTGAATGAATGCTTCGGGGCCCGTCTAGGCCCATGGATTCCTCCCGGGGTTGGCGCGTCACACACAGGAAGGCAGGGTTTGAAGAAGGTGGGGGTACGGGGTGGGACACAGAGGAGCAGGTTGGAAAGGGGAGAAGGTGAGGGGCTTCTGGCACAGACCAAGGAGCCTGGCCCTTTGTCCTCTGGCAAAAGGGAGCATGTGGCAGTTGACACAGTCCATGGGAAAGACAAGACTGCTGGCAGGTGGAATCACAGGCGGAGAGAGGGACAGAGAGGCCAGGAAGGGGTGGGCTTGGGCAGGAAGGACCCCTGCACCCAGCCCAGGCACACTGATGGTGGCTCCCACCCAGCTCCAAGGCCATGAACGACCTGTCACAGGCACGCTCCCATGCGTACCCACACACGCACCACCCCTCAAGGAAGGTGGCGTCACCCACCTCCCATGTTCTCACAGCAAGATAAGGATGCTGGGACACACACTGAGCACAGGGGTGTGGGCCTCACCCCAAGCCCAGGCAGAGGCAGAGCTGAACAATGAGGGGGCTTGGCCTCCACATTAGTAAACTCTGGCCACCCTGAGTCCAGAAGTCTCAGTTCAGAACCGAGAGAGAATGATTTCCTGTTGTTTTAAGCCACTTGTCTGTGGTAATTTATTATGGCAGCCCCTGGAAATTAAGACAATGGCTTGAAACAACACATTTTTTTTTTCCGCTTTTTGAGACAGAGTCTTGTGCTGTCGCCTAGGCTGGAGTACAGTGGCGCAATCTTGGTTCACTGCATCCTCTACCGCCCAGGATCAAGCGATTCTCCCACCTCAGCCTCCTGAGTAGCTGGGATTACAGGTGTGCACTACCACGCCCGGCTAATTTTTGTATTTTTAGTAGAGAGGGGGTTTTACTATGTTGGCCAGGCTGGTCTTGAACTCCTGACCTGTGATCCGCCGGCCTCAGCCTCCCAAAGTGCTGGGATTACAGGCGTGAGCCACCATGCCCGTCTAGAGTTTACTTCAAATCACAGAGGCTCGGAACCAGGGGAGCCCTTGTTTACTGTGCCCCCACACCCCGTTCCCCACTCAGGGCTCTCTTTGACCCCTGCAATAGGTGGATCTGGCTAAGGAGGCCACAGGGTACCCCCTCAGGGCTGGGACCCTTCTATCATCGGGAGGCTCCTAGGAAGGAGTGGGTTGCCATGGAAACATCTAGTGCAGGGGAGCCAGGTGGGCTATTTTTAGAAGTGGAGCTTTTTTCTCATCTTTGGAGGAAAACAGATCAAGTTTCTCATTGGGGAAGCCCTGTTGGGGGCAGCTTTTTGAAACCAAGAACCTGAAAGGCTGCCTAGGCTGGTTATGGATTGGGAAGGAGGTGACCCAGTGGTGGTGTTAGGGCAGAAGCCCTGTGGCCACCCTCTGTGCACTGCTTGCTTATTTCGGGGAAACTAACTTTGCCCTCACCTGCCCATGAGCTCCTCCAGGGTTAAGGCACAGATGTCCAACAGGGACCCATCCCCTCACATGTCACTGGAGAGGAGAGCAGCCCTGAAGGGTGGAAGGATGGCACTCACCCCGCTCACTGCACCCACACCCAGTGCTGGCTGGACGAGTTTTGGGGGACGTGCTGCTAAGAGGGGTCCTGGCAGGGGACAGGCCGGTGGGGCCTGGGGGTGGGGAGTGGCAAGAGCAGGGGCCTGGTGGAGGATGCTGGGAGCACTCGCAGGGTCCTGGGTGGGGAAGGACATTCAGACAGCCCATGTCCAGCAAGGCTGGAGCAGCACCTACCAGCGCCCTGTATCCTTTCTCCTTCCTGGTTCTTCAGCCCATCCCAGTGCCACATGCGGAGACCCTGCACCCTTGGTGCTGACTTGGGCACTTTCCCACTCCTGTGCCGCGCTGCACACAGGCATTGTGGGATGTCTTTCTTTCCTCCTCTGCCAGAGCCCCAGTGTGGGTCACTTCAATGGTGCAGTGCCTGGGGCCCTCAGGTTCCCTCCTTTGGGCTCCCCAGCACTGGGCCCCTTCACCAACCTCTGGCTAACTGGAGTCACATTTGGGGTGCCCAAATATTTAAAAGAATGTGATGTAATCCCAGCACTTTG